CCTCATGTCCCATACAAATCACATTATCGGACAATGCTCCGGTGTATGGCGGTAGCTGGTATTGATCGCCTGAGATCAATACCTGCTGTAGATTCGGTAGGTTTGCTATCAGTCCAAATAGAAACATTTCTGGTATTAGACCTCCTTCATCAATTACTAAATATTTAAATAAATCCTCATTGAAATACTGCTCCCATACCTGCAATAACATCCGAATTATAGGCACTGTGCCACACATTAACTTCGGGCATCGGATCTCGATAAGTGTCTTCAGTGCCTCTCCTTCTTTGTAAGCGTTGCCGTCATGCACTATGCGTTTTGAAATATATCTCATCACAAACGCGGTCCTTGCTTCCTCAATGTTGTTTGAATGAAATGCCTGCAACACCTCTGGTACCCTACACAATTCCCAACGACGTACCTCTAATGGATGCGGCTCCGACTCATTTGTTATCGATTGTAGGAATAATACCTCCCTTGCATCAAAATCAATCTCCTTGAGAACAATCTCAGCTATCTCCTGCACCGCCAGGTTAGTGGGAGCTGTTACCATTATGATCTCTCAATTTTCCTGTAAAAGCTTTAATACATAAAGCGAATTGGTATAAGTTTTACCTGTACCGGCCGGTGCTTAAACCACCAAGTGGTTACAGTCCTTGTCCTCCAGGAGTTTGAGTATATGCGCCTGCTCACTAGTTACCTTCCATTTCTTCTTGGCTATCTGTATTTCCGTATCACCACTCCTTTCCGTGTGCTCTTCAGATACATCCATGGCCTCAGGTTCGTCTTTCTCGTCTTTTAGCTGCATTATCTTTTCCAAGATGTCTTTTCTACGCATGTGCTGCTTATCTTCCAACGCTCTACTCAACCTTTGACCTGAAAAATCTCTTATCACCGTTTCATATCCTATGTTACTCATCTCCGGATATATCTCTATTCCTGTAACGTCCTTGAGCTCCATCAACCTTGGTGCCTTTTCTATCGCGACTAATACTTGGTCGTTATCCATTCGCATGTACAGTGTGATGTTCTCAAACTCGTCGATCTCGATCTTAAACACTGTCATTTTAACAACACCGCTTCGATACAACCAAGCACTGGATGATTGCGTTTCGATCCGCATCTCTGCCTCGGGCTCCCAGAATCTTGCTCTTGCCGCGATTATTCGGTCTTCGTTTTGATTGCGCTCGTCATATGGTATGTAGAATTCAAGTTCTGCAGACTTCTGCGTCCCGGTATGAATAATATTTATATTTACCTTAGTAGGATGAGCTCTACTTAACCAAAAGTAAACTCTTATCCTTTCCATGGCGTATATCGCTGATGTATTAAAAAGTTCTTCATACTGATGAATCTTTTCTGAACTTTCCATTCTCAGCTTGCACAATCTATTCGGAATGTTTTCATGCCTGTGAGTATGACGTGAATCATACACTGCTTGAATCCATACCCGATGTAAACCCAATACATATCCGCCTGGTTCTTTATTCTGAAATCTTTTAGGCAAATAATAAAATAATCTATTATTTTGATGTACCTTTCCAAACTCCAGGCGCTCCGGTTCTAGCTTTACCACTTCAGCGTCGATTATCGATCCTACCACTGGGATTCTTGTCGTATGAATCCTGTCTTCATAAACTCGTTCTTCTTCAGTTACACCTTTCGCTGTTACTGCTAAGGTGTATGGCCTAGTCTTAGCACATTGCACCATTGCTGGAATTTGGTACGGCTCGGCTCTAGTCAAGACGGTGTAGACGACTGCTTCGACTGGTGGTCTAAGTTTTCCTTGATGTAAATAA